ACCGCTAATAACCTCGGAGAGTTCATTTGAACAACTTTCTGTGTAAACGTGGTAATAACCTCATAATAATAGAGCTGTCATGATTAGATTGGCTCACCCACCCGCGCTCTTTTTTTATGCCAACTATTAGGCAAAAAAAGTTTGTCTTGATTACCGTAGTTCCAGTTTTGCACAAGGAATCTATTAAATGCCCCTTCCAGGGTTATTAGCGTACGATATCCTGTTCAAAAGTAGGTATTGTCCTCACCAAATGTTTATAATAAACTTCAATGTTTGTGGCGGTTTTTGATGCGTTGAACGCGCTGCATAAAAAGCCCCACTTCATGCAGCCAAAAGAGCGCAAAACTGTTTTGTCATTTGTGTGTTTTTTGATTCCCGTTAGGAGAATTATTGCTACCCTTTCTTTTCTTCTTTTTGTTGTTCTTAAAAGTCCACTTATTGTCCTGGTGCTAACGTATTTGGAGGTGGGGGGGAGGGACCACGCAGTAGGCTGCTTTTCTGCTCCCTCCTGGCCTAGCTTAGTATTTGAAACAGCTTATCAAAAGTTCCCAGCTCATTTTAACCAAGAAATTGATCAGTTCCGTTTAGATCCCCCTTCCCCAAAACACGTTAGCGCCTAGGTCCTTCAAAAAAAACCAGAACAAGTACTTTCATCTTAAACAATGGGTGTGACCTAGATAGCACCCTGGTTTTCAGAGTGAATGTTCTTTCCCTCGCCATAAAAACGTTCATCTTCTTCGTTCGTGGTGTGCTGTTGCCATTGATATCATCGGAATGTCGTAATATCATGCGCTTATCGTGTCAGCGGATCAGTTTCCAATGTCAGTCATTCGTAATCGATCAATCCCCCCGATCCATACCACGGATCGATATCGATTGTTCGTTTTGTTCTCTGAACCATTGATTATAGATGTGTGTGGTGTCGGTGCCTTTCTTCAATGGTGGGTGAGAATTATGTGTGCGTCTGTCTGTCCGGGAGGAGAAACGGCCAGGGTTGTGTGATTCATGCGGTGCTAAATTGCACTGATTACCATTCCATCCGGCGCTTTCTTCTTCTGAGAGGGAGAAATGATTTAGATTCAAGCGCTTTCCCATTAGGGTGAGTCATTTTGTGCAAATAAACTTTTTATGTATGAAACCACGACTAAATCTTTTCCTGGTTCTAATTGTTCGGTCAAGTAATACTCACCTAGTATTGAATAGGATATCCCTTTTTGAACCAAGTAGTTGGCTCCTGCCCATGGAACTCGTCCCTGTCATGATTTCGACAGTAGCCCCGCCCCAACTCTCTTTATCCCCACCTCAAGCTCCTGCCGACTTATTTTTTCTACTTCTCCTAACTCCTTACTCGGTTATTCTGGAACTATGTGCCTGGGAGAAGGATCAGTATGCAATTTTGCCAGCGCTAGGGCAGCATGCAATTTTTAAGAGGAAAAAAAAGCTCTCGGATAGACGAACCACCTGCCGATTGTGAAAAATTGGCATGTCCTAAGGCGACAGTATACTATTTTTGGACCCGACGTATCCGAGGCACATAGCGCCTTATTGTCTATTTTCTATTTTTATTATTTCGTGCCTCAGTGGCATTTTATCAAAAGAAAATGCTCGTAAAATAGTCTGCGAGAGTTATATGTGACTTGAAGACACCGTTCACGATTGCAGATTGTTGGTTGTAGAGTTCACAATCAAAAGTCTTGACGCTATGTGGCCTGACAAATACAAAAAAGCAAAATAATTGGTCGAAAATGCTGTAGATAATTCTCCTTAATTTGCGGGTTTTGGACGAGTTTTCCAGACATACTGTCTTTATGTCGCCAAAAAGGTGCGGATGACGCTTCTGCGCGTACACCATTCTCCTTATCGTTTCTTCATACCTTTCAGCCGTAAATGCTGTGCTATACAAAACTGGAGAAATTGGCGCAGAAACGAAGGCACATCACAACTCTAAAGGACAGGAGCAATAAGATTTTAGGGCGCTAAGGCTAACGTGGAGGGATACAAGTAGCGCCCCTGGGACGTCCCCCTGAACAAGGGGAACGAGGCTTATCCTTGTTTTACTCAACACAATATCTTTCCTGGGTGTTTCCTTTCACGCATTTTTTTTATTCTTTCATGTTTAGACTTGGTCTGGCTGCTAATCAGTTCCAAGCCTGAATCTTGTGTAGGGGGAGGGACACAGAGACACAGTCGAGTGCCACCACCCCTTACCCCCAACCGCCGACTTTTATCTAGCGTTGAGCACCGATCCTTTTAATCCTGGTTTCTTTTGATTATGTATTCATCGACGCTTTGATGTTCTGACCAATCAGAGGCTTTGCATTTCTTCTGTCAACCAATCACAAGTTCTTTTTCATCGCTGTAAGTTGTGCATGAAACTCCTTCATTCGCATTGAATAGTCAACGTCTTATCGCAGTGACGCCCTTCCGGCCGGGTAAACTTGCGCCCGATCGACTTAATTGACAACTCACCGATCGTTCTCAACCCGGCGCTACTCGTCACATACACATTTCTTTTGTTGCCAGATTCTTTTCACGCGAATTCCAAGGTAAATAGTCGAGGCGCTGATGATATTCGATTTCTTTCGATAAAGTAAACGACCGTTCGTGAAAACCGGACCATACGGTGTTGAGTCTAACTGGTATTTGTCTTATATTCGAATCAAGACGAATTGTGCCTGTCGAAAACTTGTTTCGTATTGGGAAAGATCTTTCAATTGCTTCTGATCGGCAGTTTTTCCTCGATTTTGCCCAAGTCCAACGCTTTGAGGCGACAAGGAGACACGAATGGCGTACATCCTCTTTGGAGAGTACCGTTCCTTGGTCTTTATCAGAGGTCTTTTACTGTGGGCCCCTCGTCATTGAGCTAGTGAGACAGTAACAATATATTGACTACAAACGAAGACAGGCCGTTCAGGGGGGGGGGTGACTTTGAGCTGCGTTTTCTGAAGGCTTCGTGCCTGGTGTACCCAGCTGCCGATCCCCGCAAGGCATGATTCGGTAGTCAGAGGTCTTTTAGTGTGCCCCCTGACTTAGATGCTGTTCTAGTAAGGTTAGCCCTCTTTGTGCAATAGTTCGTGTTGCCTACGAATCAGATTCGTAGTTCCAGTTGAAGTTCCAGGTCAGGAATAGCTGCCGTGCAAATTGAATTTGAATTATACGCTTTCGTTTGCAATCAGGGTCACCTAGGCCGACTCGGGATTAAATTGACCTTGAGACTGGTCGATAAGTTGGTGATTTGCTGGTTAATTACTGTTTTTGAAAACTTGTAACTAATATATCAATATTGGAACTTGTGTACGTAATGTGTTCCGATCTTTTTTCTCACGTATCTTATGCACACGTAATAAACTTATACTTACTTATGCTTAAGAATTTTCTAATTATAAGATCTTTGTGCCCATTGAGCTTCCGGAGAATTGTTCCATATAGCTATTTTTGACATGCGAATTAAGAAAAAAATTCCTTAGTTTCCTGTGAAAAGAGCTGAATTTGCACTTTTGGTGGCATTGTTCAGCAGCGCTGAGTATTTTTGGCACAAAACATCCAGTGCACAGACAAGGGGTGTTCAACGTAATCTCGCTATAGGTATGAAGGAAAAGGCAGGAAATTCCAAATGAAATTTTTTTCAATGTAGTCCCCCCATACCCATGTTTGCTCGTGAAACTAATTTTTCAATACCCTCTGAAAACGTTTTTCCTTCTTGTTCCCCAAATGTACGTCAATTGCCGCCTTCAGCTCTTCATCATCAGAAAAATACTTTCAGAGAAAAGCTTTTTTTCAGTTTGAGGAACAAGAAGTAATCACTAATCATTTTCTCAATTTTCTTTTCATTTTTCTCAATTTTTTTAATCAGTAATCATTTTCTCAACATTGTCGCATCAGTCATTCTGGTCTTCTTTCACCAAGGATAACTAGAATAGCATTGATGATAACTAAATGAAATTTTGTATTTCTTCGGGGAGGGCCGTTACCTAGTTACTCCTATACCGCGAATACTTTAAACGGCCCTCGTAAGGACATTAACATTTCCTTTCGAAATGAGAAAACGTGGGATTATGGTGCAAGAAGATGGTTATTGGCTAGAAGGAGCAGGCTCTTGCTCAAGCTTGCGGTAGAAGGAGCTCGAGATGGGAGATGGTCAAGACTATCGTAACATGCCGTGCCGTCACGCGGCGCATCGTGCGATGGTGCGCGGTCATTCTTGGGTGTGCACGAGTTTGTCGAATGGAGCACTGAGACTCACATGGGTTCAGAGGAGGCACGATCAGATATCCAGTGATATAAATCATTCCTGTCCCTCGAACATTCGGACTAAAACGGCTGGGCAGGACAACTCGTTTGTCGCCAGCGCGACATCGCATGCCACGCCCGCGGCATATTACGATTGCCTTGTAACATACCCGCTCAAAAGTGTTTAGAGCTTTAACCTTCTGCCTTTCTTCTGTTCTTGTGCCCAGTCGTTTATTTGATTTGAGAGACTTGTGAGGATCATTGGCCATTTTGTCCTTTTACTTTGCTATTTTGCTATTTCTTCCTACTTCCATTGCACTTTCGATTTCGTATGCCTTCCGTGCCTTGAAATGTTACCATTGGTATGATACCCAGCATTCCATTGGTCTTTCGCTCTTCATTGCTGTTTTCCTCGTGTTTTATTTCCTTTTCCGCTCGGCTAATTAGTTGCACATGAACGTTTCACCATTCGCCGCTGACGTTTACTCGTGCCAGGTCGATTTTCAATGAACAGACATTTTTCCAGGACCGTATTGCATTTGAGGCCATCGGAGATGTCTAGGAGATGAGTAATCGTGACAAGCGACATGTTATATCGAGCAAAGTTGTGCGAGGCGCCGCGCCAAAGGCGCTTACAGGCGCCTTGGGGCCGATCAAGCCCAACTAGCTATATTATATTATTCTTATTATTGTTATTATTTATTCCATCAAACAATGGCTTTCACTCGGATGACTGGATAGTTTTCAAGAATAGACATGCCGATCAGGGAATGGAATTTGAGAAAATGGTGAGTTCATTGATTTGTCGCTCGTTTATTTTTATTGATTTATTGATTGATAAGAATTAATTATATTATCTGTGCGCTGGTGGCCGATCTTTGCTACTGCTATTTGGTGTCCACTCCTCCCGCGCCGTTGAACGTTCGATGTGTAATACATGTCCGAGCGGCTTAACCCGGTAATCCCGTGCTCAAACTATGACCGCACAAATGTTGGGTGCTGAAATTGAAACACAAAATGGGTTATTCTGTCATAAAGACCAAATCCTTCGTCATTCTACAATTCGTCTCTTAGGAAACTTTTTTCTGTAATGACGGTATTATCGGTTATTAATTGGATTACGTAATGCCTGGTGCCGGGGTCTGGCGGTGGCGTAACCATCGGGCTGGTTGTAATATTCCTAGGTCTGCTAATGGTAAGATCTAAGAGATCTGGAGGCCTGAACAGAGGTTAGGATTCTAGGAGTGTGAAAGGTCAATCTCTTGGATTAGCTCACTGATTTTTTACCCGAAAGGCTTCCTTTACTCCGTAAGAATAAGTTTTTATGCCAGATTGACATGCGATTCTTCCCAGGAATGGTCCTTTTATAGTGACCGTTTCTTTTTAATTTTTTCCGGTTTTTATTTTGTTTATTTGGAAGACGCTCAACAGCAGCTGGTGACTGCCACCAGTATGGGTGGGAGTTTCCGACTGGTGGAATAAAGTTTGGAATAAGTGCGTTGAATAAAAGAAAAATGAGTCAGGTCTCAAGAAAGTCGTTCTTATTACTCCAGTTTGCGAAGTCCAGGCTACGTTTTGATCGAAAATTTTCGCGGAAGGTAGATTTGCTCTCTTCTGTCTCCAAGGCTAATCTGGCAGTCCTCAAGATGAACATCTCATTCGCTTGTCGCGAAATGCCCACGTTACAGGCGCTCCTAGTGATTACATCTTACCTAAGGAAGTCAGACTAACCTCAGATACAGATAGGGTTTGGACAGTTCTACTCCAGGGAAAAATTCTGATCAAGGTGCTGCCTGAATTTAGGGGCAGTAAAGGGTAAGCGCTGCCGAAAATCTTCTACCTAAACTGGAAAATAGTGGGAAGCCAGGTGTAACTATTGCCAGAACTTCAACTAGTTGTGAAGTTCTGGCAATAGTTTTCCTGCGCAGAAACGAAAATTGTCTGCCCGAAGTTGGCGTGTTGGGAGTGGGCATTCAAGGCATCCCTCTTGCGAAGTGGGGATTGTCGTTCGCCCAAGCCTAGGGAAGAAGAAACCTTGCATGGGTAAAATGCAATTTTCATGTGCAAGTAGGGGTATTGCAGTATGAACTCCGGATTTATACTGAAAACCCGCGCCCTCCCCTCCCCACTATGCCAACCTGCACCTGAGAATGATATTGGGAAATCTTTTCCGTTTCAAGTTAGTTGTTTGTAAGTACTGTATGTTCATAATTAGGTCGTGGATCCATCAAACACGCGCCTATACGTCGCCGGTGTTAACTATCTGTATGATTTGCATTCGTCTGATCTTTCTGTACGAGTAGAAGCTGTGACAGGACCGATGGATGACTCGGATCAATGCAAAGGAGGTATCCATTTTTTTGTTAACTCTTATGGTCTTTGTTTTTCCCAGTCAAATTGATTTTTCTTTTTTTCCTTTTGTTGAAATCGTCAGGTTGTTTTTTTATGTTTTTGAAGCGAAATATTGTTTGACTGGTTATTTGGTCAAATGAGCGGTTGTCATAGTCATTTCGTTCATGAACGCATGTTTATTGCCCGTTTTGTTGGGTTAGTGAGAGTCCGACTGGCGGCTCACCACCATTAAGGCGCCAGCCACATTCAGTGATTCATTCACCCGCTTGAAAGGTGTTTTCTACCACTACCATCGGGTGCTATGAGAGAGGTTTTGACTGGCCCGTTTCTTTTGAATTTTCAATGGGACCGCGTGAGATTCAATAGAGTTGTTGTGGTGAATTGGTTTCGTACACTCCTCACATCAGCCACTTGTCTGTGAATTCGTTTCGCGGGTTTGCTACGAGAAAAACCCTCCGTGAGGGTCTCATTTCTATGACGGGGTTAACGCCCGTAACTCTGGACTCGTCTTCACATCATCAACAACGATCTTTGATGTGGCGTATCCGGACACTTTTCATACCAAATTCCTCCACCTGTCGAGCCTCCCACGCCAGCGACAGCGTATCCTTGAGCGCGAGCCCGTTTTGTAGGCCTCCCGCTGTGTGAGGAGACAATTCGCACCCTCTCTCTCTTCACAGCGACCAATGCCACTGGCTCATCTGGATTAGGACCCAGAAATCCCAGCTAAACCTCTTTGAAAAATGGCCGCCGACTCTGAGGACTATGTTGGGAAGGGCGTTGAAATACTGGAATGAATAGCATGGTTCCTGATGTGATCTGGTCCTGCAAAACGTTAATGAGCATTGAATTCGATGCCCTGGAGCCAGTGCGATAGTGTCATATATTACCCCTGATCTAATCTGGCGCGCTGGAACCTGCTTATCGCATGAAATGGTCAGAATAAGGACATGTGTAATGCAGCAAATCAGATGAGGAGTGACGATTCCGGGGAGCATTGACAGCTGAATTATGGGATTCGGTCGGTTCATGATTTATGCGAAAGTTACTCAGAGGTTTTATGTAACCTGGGAGGGGGGGGGGCATTAAATTGTTCTTCCGCAAAGGATTGCAGAGGCCAACTTGTAAAGACCTGTAGATTCGTGGGCGAAGCGGCTCACTTGTACCATTTGGGTATATGTCGTATGGCGCTATTTCACTAAAACCTACGTGTCTTGACATCTCAGGGACCGTCTTTCGATAGGGAAAGCTCGTCCAAAGCTTTAAATTGGTGGATTTACCTGATTGATTATTAGGAGGATTATTGTAGGTCCAGAGTAGGAGTCCTGCTATAGAAGCAGGTGCAGTGGAACCAGCATGCACGATTTTTGGTGGATTACCAGTAAGAACACTTTATTGTTCAGTGATCTGGACGAGTTGTCCAAGTTTCTTACGCCCACCATTACTTGTTAAGACAGGTCAATATGATCGCGCCAAACGACCGCCTTGCGAACCATTTCGCAGCTTCACAAGAGTGCAGGCCTCGTTGAAGTGGGACCTGTTAGTTAACATCAGTAATAGCAGGAAGTGGCAAAAGTGCTGAGTGCCCCCCCCCCCCTCACGCCGAACTGCGACCCATTTGGTACCAGTGAAGGGTTTTGTTGTGTGACAGTTGTAGAAGGATTGGACTGTTCCGTATGCCTTTTTATGGTGTTGCTGAGACTTTTGGCATAAGGGTAGCGTTGCTCGTATTGCAGCTGTGAATCCCTCCGTGCAGAGCCGCGTAAGAGGTTTCGCAACGTTTTTACATCGCGAGCTTCCGCTCTGTGCACACAGGTGGGTGCAATCGCGTTGTCTTACGATTTGTGACAGATAAGGGACCGAGCGAGCGACAGAAGGATCAACACTTTGGGATATGGTAAAGTTATGCAGCGGTCAGGTCAAGCGGTTACCCGCTGAAGTGTTTAGTTATTGTGTTGCAGGCGATGAATGAGGTTAATACGTGGCGAAGAGATGGATGGGTTGAGGTGAAATTTCGGGTCCTCCACCCATATGGCACCCATAACCATTCATGGGAGGTTGACAAAGCGATTTCTCGAATGGATTTGTCAATGTCCTAAGAGGGGTCGACTATCTAGCGGTTCACACCTCTTAAGAGCCCGTAATTATTGAGCGCTCGTCGTTTTAGAGCACATTCATTCTTCCGCAGGACAACATAATGAGGTGTTCGAGTGTGATGACTGAATGATGGGGATTGTTTTGAAAGGAGAGCAATCGCACGCCCCACCTTGACCCTAGTGAATAATTTGTGGGAGAGGTATGTCGATGTGATTTGTTAATTAGCTTGTAGCCCGAACGTCGAGCGGTTTGTTTGGGTGACCCTGATTGGGACGTTCTGGCGCGGATACTCGTTGAATGAATGTTGAATTAGAAATGGCGATCTTTGGGCAATATTCAACTACTGCAACCTCAAAACCTCAACCTTCTTCCTCTGGAGGGTGTTATCTACAAAGCCCTGATCTTTTATGTTACATCGATTCTGAAGCAGTTGAGCTTGCTAGGGCCCGAAATCGTTCCCAGTGAATCTGGAACAGGCAACCTTCTGAAGATAAGGAGCTGGCAAAAGTGCAAAATTGCCCCCCCCCTCCCGTCCTACGTAACCAAGCAGCGCCTTCATTTTTTCCACCAGCGCTAATATGAATGCTATATCCGTGATCAAGACCCATTTATTATGTTTCCATGGAGCGCAGAAGACGCGTGCGTGACTGCTGAAGATAGTTCGGGCAGGTTTGTGGTGATTCACCTTATTAGCTGTCAGTGTGAAATAGTATACGGATGGAAGGGGTATAATGGATGCCATGGCACGCAACAGGAAAGGTCTTCCAGGATACATATTTTTCCCTAACAGCTAAAATGCAACCCTTCTCCCAATTCTCCCCCGCCCCTCCCTTCCTCCCTCCCTTTCCCTCGAGAACTGACGATTATGTGTCCTTATAGGGACTATTTGGTTTTGGCGGGGAGGGGGATGGAGCTTGCGTTCACAGCTCTGGGGTCCAGTAACATAAATTACTGCCCGTGACTAGGCTGTGAGTCCAACAGGGTGTGAGTGGGAGTAGGGGGGGGGTGTTCACTGGATTTACCTTAGTACCTTGGTGCACCGCTCCTCTTCTCCGTTATAGGAGCAAAGGCGCACTAACAAGGAGTGCACAGTGTCGTAAGTCTCGTCCCATTCTGCCATCGCGGAATGTGTCTTTCAGCTGAATGGGTATGTATTATGGAATATTGAAGCTCTGAAAAGGCGCTTGCTCGCCTCTAATGACCCTCCCTGCTTGTAATAGCTTTTACGACCTTTCTTTTTCGCGGAAGATAGACAATGCCTGTGGTTTTCCAGTAGTGATTATGATCTGGCCAGGTGTACGACAGTTCATCATGTTTTATTAACTTAATGGGAATGCCGCCGACAATGGCCCAAATAGCCCAGCAATGCGGCGCTATATTGAGGAAGGGCAGCGATGGAGTCGAGTCTATTCACAAAACATCTGGTGCTAATTATAGATGTGTGATTCAGGGGCTATTGATTGCGTTCTGTATGTGGTAGAGGAATGTGGCTTCCGAAAAGCAGTCCTATTGTCTTCTTTTACACCCATTTCATCGTTGTGCAGAAGAAGATTTGCTACGTCGCCTAAAGAATGTCATATAATGGGGGAATTACGGTAGAACGTGATGACGTCCGGTTCGGAAATGTTTAGGTGATACTGAACAATGGCGTTGTGATGGTTTCAGACCTTCTGCTTTGGAGGAGAAATGATTTCGGATTTTGGTGTTGAGCGGGGGGGGGGGCTTGTCTATTCCTCACAAGGGTCAGCTTTAGCTGCTTGACTCTTTGCAACTACTTCCATAATTTGATCATGAGGCCCTTGATGGACCTTGATCTGTTAGGCTTACTTTTCCGCCATGGTTTCTACTCAGTGTCAGGGGTTGTGTGCACGTCTTGCTGGTAATGGTAGGGTAGGGTCAAGTTCTGGGTAACCTAGTAAATCATTCTAAAGTGAGGACAACGATAAAGTCAACGCCGTTGATGAGTCCCTTTTTTAGATGGGAGGCGCATTCTTCTTCCCTTCAGTACCGTAGTGCAATTGAGTGCGATGTGGACTATACAATGACTTCCAGGGCCAGCCAATGTACAAGTCACTGTTGTTATCCTCAGAAAAGTCTGGTACTATTCAACTGTACCCGAAGGCAGAAGCTTTGAACTGGGGTGAACAGCCGAACCGAACCTGGATTTGACTCCGGGACGGCGCGTGGGTTCAGAGTGCCGCATCCCACTACACCACCTACTTCGTTTACTCGCCGTTTTTTATGCGCCATTCCGCTTTTTGGCGCTGTGCCAATGTTGAAGCATTCAGAACAGGGATAAATTTACCTCTCATTGCAAACATCGAGGGAAATCAGCGAATCACAGTAGTACGTGTTATAGGATCGACAGGTGACGTGACATTTTGAATTTTCGAAGGACTGCTTGTGTAGGACTGGAGTTACCGTATCGCGCACGAACTTCTACACCAAAATCTGCCATCATACTATTTTTGACAATTGTATGGAGTGGCTGAGCAGCGAGGTGTCACCCAAACGTTGCCACCTGATAGTTGCCTGCTAAAAGAGGGTTTTGGAAGACCTGTGAAAAATACCGAGGCTCTGGAATTACTGCCCGATTAGCTTCAAAATAGGGCTCTTCCGGCGGACAATCACTTCTGGGAGCGTTTTTCTTGAACAGGCTAATTTCTACCGCCAATCATGTGGGCTTTTTCCGTGAAGATTTTTGAAGGCTTTGCTCTTATTCTGCGGCAGCGCTGGTTGAAAGATATGTTTTACTGGCCAGGGCACGTAGCGCGTTGGAGATCTCGAGCGAGGAGGGTCGTAGTTGCCTTTGAGAGGAATGTTTTTGGTGTTGGCATTTCTCTGCTTTTCCTGTTTCAAGTGCGGTTGTGCGCTGTAAACCTCCTCCCACGCTTCGTCGAATTTCTAAAAAAAAACTAAAACTCTCGAAAGTGGTAGGAGTCTAGAAATTGGTGAGATGGTATGCAGGATGGGGAGGCGATCGTATCAGAGGAAGAAATTTTGAGGGGGTTACTTCTATTCTGCAAAAATCCCCCCAACGGCGGGGCGTGCCCTGTTGCCAGCTCAGATGTTCTGAAAATCGATACAGTAACCAGTGGGTTGTGTGTTGAAATGACTGACGTAGGATACTTTGGCCTATTTCTTAGCGCGCATGTCTGGTGTTCTGTCGACCATAAACGTTTTTCGGCAAGCGTTTCAAGATATGCGGCCACAAAAAAGGTTATCGATGATCGTGCGGAGTGGTAGTGGCGCCGACGAGTCGATGCGCTGAGCGAAGTGGAAATGACTAATCAAAGTGATCTCGTACGTTGATAAGCAGCTAGTCGTACTTGCCGTTGACGAGACTGGGGGTTTTGAGGTTTTTTGGTCAGGTGTTGAAAAATGAGATTGACCTTGGGATATGGATAGAAACCATTGGTTTCATTGAATATAGTGGAAATGTTTAAGTGTTCTCTTGTGCTGATTCCGGTAGTGTTTCCTTGGCATTGAAATGGTTTGCAGAACACGTTTTCAAGGGTTCTTTCATCGCAAGTTTTCCTTTTTCGTGAGTATTGGGCCCTGTTTACTCTTTCTTGCCCGAATTTCCGAAATTTGGGCCCGATTTTTCTTCAAGTTCCCTACCTTTGAGTGAATTTTTTGAAAAGGTCCGCACCAGCGCT